ATATAGTGTGGGCTCGGGACAGAGTGCCAATAAGTTGAAAAGCTCTGTATTTTTTAGTCCAAACAGCGGGGCTTCTGTTAAGAGGGGTGTTAAAAATGCTCTTCAGATACATCGTGAGGCTATGTCGGAAAAGTACCTTGGCCTCCCTACTGCGGCGGGCAGAATCACGGAGCAAAACTTTGAACATATCAACGAGCGGTCACGGGCAAAGGTGCAAGGGTGGTGTGAAAGGAAGATGTCTTGCACTGCAAGAGAAGTTCTCTTAAAATCTGTTGTCCAAGCTCTACCGGCCTTCTCTATGAGTTGCTTTAAACTCACAAAAGGCTTGTGCAAGAAACTGACAGCGAACATGTCAAAATATTGGTGGGCTGGTTCACTAGATAAAAAGGGAATGCATTGGCAATCTTGGGAGAAAATGTGCATTGCAAAGTCAAAAGGAGGGATTGGTTTTCGTGACCTTGAGACTTTCAATGACGCAATGCTAGCAAAACAGGCATGGAGAATACTTGAGAACTCAAACAGCTTGTGTGCTCGTGTGTTAAAGGGAAGGTACTTCCCAAATGAGGAGTTTCTTACAGCCGGGTGCCCTGCAAGTGCATCAAAAACTTGGAAGGCTATTATAAAAGGAAGGGAGATGCTCAAGTCGGGTCTTATTCGGCGAGTGGGAGACGAGACTACGACTGAGGTTTGGCACGATCATTGGATCGATGGAAGCTTCTCCATGAGACCAATGGGAGCTCTGAAGCCAAACTCCGTACAGCTGGTCTCAGATTTGATTGATCCAGTTTCAAACCAGTGGAAGACTAAGCTGATCAGATCGGTATTCTTACCCCCTGATGTGGATGCAATTTTGGCTATGCCAAGGTCGAGGACCGGCGGTGCAGATATCTGGGCATGGGCGTGGGAGAAGTCCGGCCTTTTTACTATACGATCAGCGTATAGGCATGCAATGGAAGAAAAGCGGCAGATGACGGTGATAGAGGGCTCATCGACGGGTGATGAAGGAACAGGGCGAGCTCTGTGGAAGCTTAATGTTCTGCACAAGATTAGGGTATTTTGGTGGCGAGTGCTAAAGGGTTTTCTACCAAACTACCCAATGTGTGGCAATGATAATGAAACGTTGTTTCATTCATTGATGGAGTGTGACCATGTTAGACGCTTCTGGGAGGCGGCTGAGCGTTTCTTCGACATAAACATGCCGAGGCTCCATCCAGGGACTTGGTCCCGGGATATACTGGACCATAACATGATAAAGAAGGAGACTGCGGCAATCATGATCACAGTGATGTGGGCAGTGTGGCACTCAAGAAATAGCTATACACATGGGGAGCAGCAGTACCAACCAATGCAATCCATGAGAACCATAGAAGAGATTGTTTGAGCTCTTGAAGTTCCAGCAACCGGCAGACTTCAACCTGCTATCCGTCCAAGATGGCAGCCACCGGTTGTGGGGTGGGTGAAAATAAATATGGATGGAGCTACGGACTCGGAACATGGCAAAGGTGGTGCAGGTTTTGTCGTACGAGACCACCAGGGGGCGTTCGTGAGCGCGGGGTGTTCACGATACGATGGAGTTTCGGACCCCCTCACGATCAAGCTTCTCGCGTGCAGAGATGTGCTTGCAGCAGCGCAGAATTCAGGGCTTCAGTACGTGGAGGTGGAGACGGATTGCCAACAAATTCAGAATCTATGGGAAGCTCCACAGAAGTCAAGTTGTTTCCATCTCATCAGAGAGATGAGGGATATGTGTAATTTCTTTCACAGATTCAAGCTTCGGTATGCTTGCCGTCGGACTAATTTGGCAGCCCACCGTGTAGCTAGGCATGCTTTAAAGCTTTCTGTATCTATGCTTGTGTACGATGTAATCCCTGGGTGGCTGACTGAAACCTTGCAGTCAGATATGCTAGCGCCTGATGAATAAAGAGCCGGAAGGGCGTTTTAGCTAAAAAAGGGAAGCAAAAGGGAGGCGTTGGCCTTGTGTGTTTTCAAAGTATGGCGAGCGTAGAATACAAGGAAGCTTTACGCACATATTTTGGCAAATGGCACGGCCAGTCTTGTCCTACAAATGGCACGTCCAGGAAGGGCGTCCTTCCTGAAGGAAGGAGCGTCTGTTTTCAACAGGTTGTTGGACTGCAGAAAACAAGAGAAAAGCTAAGATAGGTACTTGGACTTGACTCTGAGTGAGATGAATACGTTATCTACTAGTAGCCGGAAAGAACAACATCACGCCGGCTCAAAAAGTAGAGTAGTAAAACTTGTCGTGCAAGGGTCCAAACTTGGGATGATTTTGTTGTGGAAAAGGTAGCTCGCCCTTACCTGTCCCACTCATTCAGCCCACTACCACCAGCATTTCACCGCGGTCCACTTTAAAGTCACAATACCAAATGCTCCCTCCCTCCCTCCATTCTCTTCAGCGCCAAATCAATCAAGCAACCACAATGATAGATAAACCCATCCATTTGGTCTCGACCGTAGCTTTGTTATTTTTGAAAGATAACAGGAGAGCTATTATATTCGTTGTACAAGGACCCAAACTGCTTGGTTTGGTGTAGATAAACCGGGCGAAAACCTGAACAACGGTAAGCCACACATAGCTTACCAGTACTCCCAGGTGGCCAGGTCAGTTCTATGGCGATAGGATAGGAGCATGTGAGTGAGCAACCTTTTGGCATTACCTTCAGCAAGGGAGGTAGCTGTAGTTCCCCGTCCAATTAATTGGTGGGCTTAAATCAGACACCTCCTTGTCACAGGCTGTCAAGTTACTTCAATTGAGGTCCACAAAGTTGGGACACAGCTACAGCACTCCTTTAAAGAGCATGCATGTGATACTTACTCCACTGCTTTTTGCATAGCCTAGTAGACTAGTATCCCAACTGGATCAGTTGGATATCTCCGTGAAAGGATGCGTAGGAGGGGCAAATTATTTGCATTCTGGTGGAACTGGAGACCGGAGACTTACCTACAGTGCTGCCTGGCATCATCCAAGATCTACATATTTCATCACTGTTGCATTGTACGTAGGCGGTAGGTCCAAAGGTTTTGCGTGATTGCGAAACAGATAAGCACTTCAGATGGATACCAGTAGGAAGCTTTAGCAGTCAGGTTCAGGTCTGCTGCCATTGCCATAGCGTTTCAACAGTGTAAGTCTTTCCTAGATATTTTGTGGTTTATTGTTCAAGAGACGAGATGACATGAGCTTTAGTACCAGGGATGGTTGAACAACTCCTTATCTTTGTACCGAAAAAATGAGAATCTTGTGACAACGGGTGTTTTCGAGAAGGAATCTTGTGATAACGGGTGTTTTCAAGAAGGAACCCTGTGATAACAAAACTTATGCAACAGTAAGAATCGTTTCTGACTTCCAACACTGAGTCTTGAGATAATTTTGCAACTTGGAAGTTGGAACAGGAGATCTGGTACAAGGAATATAGCCCTTTGCAAACCTCTAAAAAATATATAGGGGGTTGGACTTGCGACCCATAGTTATCAATTTTACCAGAGATTGGGACAAGCTTGGGACAAGCTTTTCGGACTGAGGGAGTAATAAGGTAATTTTGCAACTTGGAAGTTAGAACGGAAGATTCAGTACAACGAATATAACCCTTTGAGAAGTCTTTAAAAAAAGGGAGTAGAAGTTACGACCCATAGTTATTAATTTACCCAAGTGCAAAGGTTTCCTACCATATCGTAGTCATGTCACATGTTTCCTGATGACAGAAATTACTGAAGATGTTGTTTCCGAATTGCTCTTTATTAGTATGAATAGAAGAAACACATTTCCATTGGTTTCCAAAATGTATACTTTTCTTTTCCCTTTTTGCCCCAAAGCAGAACAAGTCCTCACAGGAGTTGGAGTTCGGAGGGACTTTGATCCTACAAAATACCAAGAAGACTACATCAGTGGTAGCTGCCACACGAAGAATTCTGATGAAAGGAAGCAGATTTTCTAAGCCTATGTGCAGCTACCCACCTTTGCATGTATGATACCATTTACTCCCTCCGTTCCGAATTACTTGTCTTGGATTTGTCTAGATACAGATGTATCTAGACTCATTTTAGTGCTAGATACATCCGTATCTAGACAAATCTAAGACAAGTAATTCGGAACGGAGGGAGTACTTCATAAAAACATTGAAAACATATGGACTTGCAACTACTCCCTCCGGTCCTTTTTAGTTTGCATATAAGTTTTGTCCGAAGTCAAAGTATCTTTATTTTGACCAAACTTCTAGAAAAAGGTATCAACATTCACAATGCCAAATTAATATTTTTAGATTTATTATGAAATTTAGTTTCATAGTATATATATTTGGTATTGTAGATGTTGATATTTTTTAATATAAATTTGGTCAAACTTTGTAAAGTTTGACTTGAAACATAACATGCGGAGTAAAAAGGACCGGAGGGGGTATAAGCAAATTGCGTACCTTTTAAATTTCATTCTCAATTTCAGCTGGACTTTAAAGATAAGTTGTCACATATACTTTACAAGTACTGTCCACTTGTCCTTTTCCATTCTAAACACTATGGATCAGTTTCATCGTAAATAGTATTTGCAGGTAGGCAAAGGTAGGCAGCTGCAGCCCTTATGCTTGTGTAAGCAACTGAGCAGTTTGCAAACTCTGAAAGCAAAGTGCACAGTAAAGAGTAGAAGAGTGCAAATCCAAAATACGGAGTAGATGTTAAGCACATATAGCATAAATAAATTGTTTTTTCCATCATAGTATGATCTTTTATACTGCCTCAGTGATGAATCAGCAATACAATTACATCCTAACTATGTACTCACGAGTTTCTTTAGAACTATTGAACCCAGCTCATTCAAGCAAAATGAAGTAATTACTTGATGAATCTTAGAATATACTATACTAAGCAGAGCGAAATTTTCAGCTTTACTATTTGAATCGTGAACAAAAGAATTTTCTTCAAATAGTAGGTAGGTATCAAAATGCATACCACGAGTCAGGTATTCTTCAGAGAACAATTGATCAGTCACGGGCCTACAAATATTGAATCAACTGAACGACATATTTGCCTTTCTTCGTAGTCACGATTTCCCCAATCTACAGGAAATAATGACTTGAAGTAACTCAAGCATATAACAAAGATTTGAAAATGTATTAGACATCTCTAGTAGCATGCATACATCTTCCATAGCATGCTATAACGGGTATTTCTGCATATCATATAATGCAAAGATCTAATTGTCAGCATATATCAACAAACATATTATGACTATAAGTGGACAGCGAAGGTTGTAATTTTTCCATTTAACATCTTGGAGTATGGTTCACAGAATAAGGAAGGAAAAGATCAAAACAATAACAAACACTGAACATATAGAATGGGGGGGTCCAACTTAACTGCATACACAATACAATGCAAGGTCCAACATATTCTCAAAAACCTGCACTGGTGGAATGCCTCTCAAGCACCAGAAAAATTGTTCCATCAGCGTGAACTAGGTGCAACAGTAACATCATAATTTTATCCTAATTTGCTCAAGAGAATTCAAGGCTCGTCAAGCATTTATTCAAAAAGACAATAACTGGTGATTGATTTTACCTTTAATCTCCCCATCCCACTGACAGAAACAACATCTCCAGCCTTGAGGGTAGCTCCACTTTTCGAAACCAGTGACCAATTCACACGAACATCTCCAGAACTTACCAAACAGAAAAAGAAACTTACAATGAATTGCATTGTGCACGGTAATAAGAAAAACCAACAGGCTAACAGCACTGTCCAAAATAAGATAAGAATGTCCAACTATTCATGTTAAGGTAAAGAAAAGCCTTACTGAACATAAAGTAACAAATTAGCAGCTTAAAGTTCATACCTGATCATGCTACCAAGCTTTGTGCGTGATATTTTGAATCCTGCACTGGCCACAGCATCAACCCGAAGTGATGATTCTACAGTTTTAAAAGATTTGGTCCTGCAGTTCAATGGCAGTGCTGAGTAGCTTATTCCAGGGTATTACATCATAAGTTGTTGTGATCTTAAGCATGCAGTATATATACTAAGATCCACGATGACATGTGAAACAAACCTTGGTGGCTCATACTCTATAGCAAGCAAGGGAATCTGGGTGCATGAAACACCAACTTTCCCCACCTGTTCAATAAAATATCATTCAGAGTAAACCATAATTAGAAGAATCAGCACTTCCAACAAGGAAAATAATACTCAAAAAATCATGAACAACAGTCGAAGTTCATGGGGAGATTCTTCGTGGACAGATTTGGGTCAAAACTCACAAATACAAAAGACTAACATAAAAAGAACAAAGATTTTCAGCAATCTAAGCGGACATAAAAATTAAGATCGCAATGTGCTCTAATTTCTTAAAGTGCCGAGTAAAAATAAATACATCAGCATGTAATATACAGGCTATGTGCTTTGCATAGCATTGAATGCATGTCAATGAAGAATGAACCATATCTCAGATCTGGTCCACTATATAAACATAGGCACATAAGTGGGAGCATGCACATCCAGCTCGCGCAAACGAAAAATTGGCAACATAATTTGCGAGACACCTACCTTTTCTAGTGTGGAAGTCAGATAGTCAACAAGCTCTGGATCAACAAGGACCTGAGCACCTCTTTCCCCCTAACAGAAAAGCAAAGAGACAACCCAAATGATGATTAGATGGAAAAAGGAAAACTGGACACCGCATCAGGGAAATGAGTATTTGTGGAAAGTGTGGACCTGTAAAAGTATATCTCCAACTTTCTCCCTTGTAATTCCTGCCCCAAGAATAGCACCGAGAAAGTCACCATGAGAACAGGGTTCCAATCGGAAATTCCCGGAGATGCTGGGAAAGGTTTAAAAGTCAGTTTACATAACAGGTAGTGGTGGCTACAATATAAATTCTTGAAAACCTCAAAGCAGCAACTACATCTGGGTCACTTCTCATAGAGTCTGGATGCCCAACCGAAATTCGGCACCGCTCAGCCTATATGGATATGAAGATGAGAAAAACAAGGTATATAGGTTAATATAAGCTATTATTCAAGTCCCTTGATTGTATTGAATTCAACCTGTGGATAGCCCCCCTGAGCTACTGCTTTGATATCAGCTAACTTTTCAATTGCTAGCATAGCCTCCGCTATGATAGGCGGCGTAAGAAAACTGGTGTGGAAGACGTCTCTCCGTTGGGAAGCCCTTTGTGCCTGCATACGCTTGATGTCAGTACAAATTCATGAATCGAAGGACTAATGATCATGTAACTGGTAACCCCAGTAATTTGCTCAATATGAAACAGGGTGATATGCCTTCTCTTGGAAATGGATTAACTACAGAACTGAATCAAATTTACTGAAAAGTCATGCAGTAATCTCATGGTACATTGTTAATATGCAAAAAGGCAGTTATGTTATGTTCTGTTTCAAGCATCATGTGACACTATAGGATATTAGGATCAAGTTTGTATTTCCTCCCTACAACTTATCCGTACATCTATTCACTAATTATATAATAACTCCAGCCACTTGGTATACCTTGGAAGAAGCAATTTTACTCTCTTCTTACTAAGGCACCAGTCAATATGATTGAAAGGTTATGTTTTCACACACCAAATGGACAATTCATTGGCTTTTTCTTCATGCTTCAATAGCGAAACAGCTAACAGGAAGCACTTCTCATTTCCCCTAAGTTTCATGTACTAAAAATACTCTCTTAGAGAGGAAGCATCAGCCTATTAGAACACAACCTGAAGCTCATGAATAGTGGGAAGAAGTCTCAGATTCCATCGAGGCACAGTTCCCCGATAGGCCAAGCATCCGGCACTATCATCAACCATCTAATCTCAGTAAACACATCTAATTTCCCCCTAATTTTCATGTAACAAACCCACTTAGAGAGGAAGTCTGTGAGCCTACTGGAACACAACCTGAAGCTCATGATACTTTCTTAAATTGCGGAAAGAAACCTCAAGTTCCATTGACGCAGTTAATCAAACACCTAATCCACAAGCCGGCTATCCGCATTATCGTCAACCATCTAATCTCAGTAAGCGAAACATTCAAACATAACTGTTTCACGTCGAACTAGACTCTGACGGAAGCTCAATGGAAAATACAAATGTGTTAGAATGAAGAAAAAGAGATAACCATATCCAGAATGTCCATGACTTCCTCGATTACATGCCTGTGCACGCTCCCCTTAGCAGACGAATCTCCGACTGCGGCCGCCGAGACGACGAGGGCCAGGTCACACCGCCCTGCGCATGGCGACCAAGTCTTAGACAAACAGCTCAATCAGAGCATCAGGCCGACCAGGCAATGGGTTAGGGCTTACCTCGCGCGAAGAAGCGGAGTGGTGTGGGGATAGCGCGGCGCGGGAAAGGGAGGTGGAGGAGTCGCCGGAGAGGGCTTGCCAAGGCGACCGCGGCGGCCATCCTTTCTGCAAGCCGACTAGGCCGCCTGTGCTTTGGTGCTATGTGATGTGATGTGAGCGTGTCGTGCGTGGTGGCGGTTGCCTAACCGGGTGGGGGATTGTGTTATGCCGTCTGTGGCCTTTTGTGGGTTCTGCGGACTGTACTGGTGTTGCAGTATCCCCGCCGCCGCCGCCGCGATGAGCACGCTCCTCCGCCGCATCCTCTGCAGCACGCCCGCCGGCGCCTCCCTCTCCCAGCACCTCCCCTTCGCCACCTCCTCCCGCCGCACCCCGCACCGCTTCCGCCGCAGCCACCGCGCGCCCAGCCAGTCGCCGTCACCCGACGCCGTATCCGCTGCCATCGCCTCCCTCCCCTCCCGCCTCACCCCGGCCGTCCTCGCATCCTCGCTCGCCTCCACCTCCGACCTCCGCCTCCTCTTCCCGCTCCTCACCCACTCCCTCGGCCGGCCCACCTTCCGGCCCGACCCCGGGCCCTTCCTCGTCGCCATCAAGCGCCTGGGCACCGCCCAGCTCTACCACGAGTTCGACCGCACCTGCGCCCTCTTCTTCTCCCTCCTCCCGTCCCTGCCGTCCCCGGGGCCCCTCCTCAGGGCCGCCCTCTACTTCTACTGCGAGTTCCGCAAGCTCGGCAAGGCGTTCCACGTCTACACGCTCATGCGCTCCTCCGCCGACCCGGCCGCGCGCCCCGCCGCCGACACCTACCACGCGCTCTTCACCGCGCTGCTGTCGCGCGGGGGCAACGACTCCATGGTCCACTACATGTACATGGACACCGTCTCGGCGCTGTTCCGGCAGATGCTGGAGGAGGGCATCCCGCCGGACACCCGGGCGCTCAACGTGCTCGTCAGGGGCTACGCGCAGTCGCTGCACCTCAACGACGCGCTGCGCGTGTTCCACCAGATGGCGCCCGTCTACGGGTGCGAGCCGGACGGCCTCACGTACAGCTACCTGGTGCGCGGGCTGAGCGCGCAGGGCCGCACGAAGAACGCCCGGGAGCTGTTCGACGAAATGCGGGGCAAAGGGATGATGCCGACGGAGCCGTCCTGCAACGCGTTCGTCAGCGCGCTCGCGGTGGCCGGGAAGGCCGCGGAGGCCGAGCGGGTGATGTGGGATATGGCCAGGGCGGGGGCGGTGGTGGATCATATCACGAGGAGGGCGGTGGTGGAGGAGCTGGGGAGGGCGGGGAAGAGGGAGGACGCTGAAAGAGTGGTCAGGGAGATGGAGGAGATGGGCATGCTCAGAATCGCCGAGCGGCGGGCGCTCCTCGCTTCAATCCAAGACGACGAGGACGGCGACGATGGCCTGGATGTTGACGAAAGCACGAGCGGTGGTGATCGGCGACGATGACAAAGTAGTTAGCAGAGAATTCAGCAGGTTATATCTGCTTCGGATGAGGTTTTTATTTTTTACTATGATTCTCAAGTATCCGTTCATAAATGTAAGATGTTTCAGATATTTCAGTATAGATTACGGTCGGATTGAAATGAATGAACAAGCACACTAAAACTAAAAAGTGTCTACATATTTAGAAAAGGGTTACTGTAGAACATCTTATATTTGTGTGGAGGGAGGAACAGAGTGATGTGTGCAATGTGCCCACGACGATACATGCGAGTTGAAAACGGATCGCGTAATTGAATGTTAGTAAGTTTGAAGAGTTAAAGTGTCTTAAATTATCACCTGCAAAAAGGAATACAGTACTATCTTGAATTATCACTACACGCGAACAACACGTCTTCTAAACTCAGGGTGGAATGAAAGAGACACCCGCAAAAGAAAAGAAAAAAAAGGAATGAAAGAGACGACGAATAAACCAAGGAACTGGCTAAATTCCTTGTTCTCGTAGTGGTGTGTGTTGAGCACCAACATTTGAACCTGTTGGGTAGAGCTATGCCGACACAACACCTACGCACGGATGGCTGTGGCTGCCGCTTCACCTGCCGTGCCAATCGACTCAACAAGACTCGCAGGCAAATATAGTATCGCTTACCTGCATATAGCTTGTACCCTTTTATCTTATGACGAGGTTTTAGTGCAATCCACTGAAATGCAGATAACTCAACAAGAACCTCTTTTCTTTTATTCAGACGAAGACTTTTTCGCTCTTGCTTGGAATAAGTTGTTCTTACAAAGTTGATTTTAAGAATCCCACACGGGGTAAGTCTACAACCAAAACCTTGTTTGTCAGGCGCATTCTACAGAAAGGGGGGAGATGGAACGGCTCCACTTATTGTTTCTCCCCCAAATGGACCGTCTGTAATTTGCTTATTCTTCGGGCTGATCGGACGGAAGCCATTCCAGAGTGTTGCCGGTGGACATAGGCACAATCACTCCTGAACCGTACGCATAAGTTGCAGGCACTTTCCAGGGACTCCTTCTCAGAACAGTCTTTGATGTGTTCCTTGGGAGACCATAAAAATCTGGCCCATTGAAGCTTGTAAACGCCTCTAGCTTATCAAGAGCACCGGCCTGAAACAGGACACAATATGTCCAAGAAACAGATTAGTAGGAAATTTTAGCATTTTCATGTCTGACAGAGTAGTTCTTTGCCCGTAAGATTATGATAGGCTTTTTGTAGCTAAAGTCATTATGACTGTAGTTTCTAGTAAGATGGTAAGATATCCAGGCCAAACAAAATACTGAACTCCGATGAGAGAGAGAGAGAGAGAGAAATATATTACCTCTTCAAATACCTTCGCATAAAGAGAAAGAGCAACAGGAGCACTATATATTCCTGCACATCCACAGGAACACTCCTTCAGCCGTTTATCATGGGGAGCACTGTCAGTGCCAAGAAAGTATTGTCTGCTCCCACTTGTTACAGCAGAAACAATAGCTTGCCCTGAGGTAGAAGATTCAGAGACAGTTAAACACATTGGATGCTGTAGAAAGAAGAAAAGGAAGATTGAGCATATTATCTACCAAAGACATCGCTCGTGCTATCCTACAAATGGAGGTGATAATAAAAGAATGCAACGAAGTCCATAGCCATGTTCTTGTATTCAAAATTGCAATGTTGGGCAAGAACTGAATATAATTATCATCAAAAGGAACATGATAATGTAATGCAAGAATAGCAATGTTGTAGATCTAGTCTTTTAGTGCTGAAGGAATGTCCAAGTCAATGTTTTCTACCAATTATCTCAACAAGAACAATAATTAATGGTAGGAAGTTGAGCAGAATTAGAGATTTCTTGCGTGTTCTTGAAAAAGCAGAATTAGAGATACGAGATTGGAAACTTTTGTGGCTTAGGGACACAAGAGTGACCAGAACATACTGTGGGTTTCTCTCTTCAGCACTGGCAAGCAATAATTGTGAGGCTGTAAACCACCCTGAAACAACGCATTCCTGTTTAGAAGGAGATGCTGCGGAGTCACTGTTGCAGCAACATGACCTGAAAACACAACAAAATGTAAGAACCATGTAAAAGGGAAAACAGAAGTATTAAGGGTCATTGAAACAGCACATACCTTCTTTGCATGATTCTACGAAGTTCACTGCATCCATCGTAGTGATATGTTCCATAACAATTTTCAGCTGTGGAAGTTTTTGTACAAGTGGTGCTAATATTTTCTCAATGAAGACCTTCTCACGGTCAAAGGTGTCGACATGAGGATCTGTGACTTCTCCATGAACCTGAAGGAAATGAAAAATAGCCATAAAGGTGACTATGTTGGCATTGATCATACAGGAATCAATAGTACTAACTCTAACAAACATCTTTTTGATAAGTTCGGTATTGTCAAGGCAACAAATGACAAGCCCATTTAACATGTCAAGTAAAAGTAGAGACCAACTTGGCAGATGAACCAAAACTCGCAGAGAGAGCCTTGGCTCAGTGGTTGGGTATGTGGTTGTGCAACCCAACGACCCAAGTTCAATTCCCAGAATTGACAGGTGATGCACAGGGGTTTTCCCCCGTTTATTGAGGATCAGTCTTGATGTGTGGTGGAACCACTCACCAAGAAATATCTTGATACTCATTTAAAAAATTCTGAGGACCATGTTT